AGGTTAAAGTGTTCTCCCACTGGTTTTTGAGTATTATGATTCCTGATGTCAGATTTGTGTCCATTAATTCTTTACTTTTTGCGGATACAGACTAACACGGCTGCTACTCTGAAACCTGTCAATAAACAAACAGGGTAGTGCTTCTTCCTCTCCCCTGAGCTAGGAAGCCCTTGAGCTGTGGGACTTTTGCATGGCTCACTCGAGACACCTAGAGGCATCGCACCTTCTGGGAGCACAAAATGAGCTAGCTGATTGCCTCAGCTGCTCGTTTCACAGTCAAGAATGATCCTTCAGGCCAGACATCACACACTCGATTTCCCAGAGGTGGAGGCTTTCCCCACATAGACCTCAACCTGGTCCTGTCCACTCTCATGGGAACCCCTTTCGAGCCCATGGCGACCTGCCCTCTGTCCTACCTTTCCTGGAAGGTGGCCTTTCTCAGCCAGAAGAGTGCGCTGACTTCCGAGCCCTCCTATACGGTCTTAAATAAAGACAGGGTGCAGCTACGACCTCACCCTGCGTTTCTGCTAAAGGTAGTCTCCCAGTTTCATCTGAACCAGGACATATTTTACCTGTGTTCTTCCCTAAGCCACATACCAGTAACAGAGAACAAATGTTCCATTCATTGGATGTAAGGCGTGCCCTAGCGTTCTACATTGGCCGCAAAAAGCCGTTTCGTAAGTCACCACAGTTCTTTATTGAAATCGCAAGAACATAAGAACGGCTGTACTGGGTCAGACCAAAGGTCCATCTAGCCCAGTATCCTGTCTACCGACAGTGGCCAATGCCAGGTGCCCCAGAGGGAGTGAACCTAACAGGCAATGATCAAGTGATCTCTCTCTTGCCATCCATCTCCACCCTCTGACAAACAGAGGCTAGGGACACCATTCCTTACCCATCCTGGCTAATAGCCATTAATGGACTTAACCACCATGAATTTATCCAGTTCTCTTTTAAACGCTGTTATAGTCCTAGCCTTCACAACCTCCTCAGGTAAGGAGTTCCACAAGTTGACTGTGTGCTGCGTGAAGGAGAAATTCCTGTTATTTGTTTTAAACCTGCTGCCTATTAATTTCATTTGGTGACCCCTAGTTCTTGTTTTATGGAAATAAGTAAATAACTTTTCCTTATCCACTTTCTCCTCATCACTCATGATTTTATATACGTCTATCATATCCCCCCTTAGTCTCCTCTTTTCCAAGCTGAAGAGTCCTAGGCTCTTTAATCTCTCCTCATATGGGACCCGTTCCAAACCCCTAATCATTTTAGTTGCCCTTCTCTGAAGCTTTTCTAGTGCCAGTATATCTTTTTTGAGATGAGGAGACCACATCTGTATGCAGTCCGAGGACTGACCCTTGGGGAACACCACTAGTGACCCCTCTCCATTCTGAGAATTTACCATTAATTCCTACCCTTTGTTCCCTGTCTTTTAACCAGTTCTCAATCCATGAAAGGACGTTCCCTTTTATCCCATGACAGCTTAATTTATGAAAGAGACTTTGGTAAGGAATCTTGTCAAAGGCTTTCTGGAAATCTAAGTACAGTATGTCCATTGGATCCCCCTTTTCACATGTTGGTTGACCCCTTCAAAGAACTCTAATAGATTACTAAGACACAATTTCCCTTTACAGAAACCATGTTGACTATTGTTCAACAGTTTGTGTTTTTCTATGTGTTTGAAAATTTTATTCTTAACTATTGTTTCGACTAATTTGCCCGGTACAGATGTTAGACTTACCAGTCTGTAATTGCCGAAAGGATGAAGGGGCTTCTGATCTCGTCCCTGTACATTTAATCATGGATCACGTCCTGTATCAGGACTTGCTACGACCTGGCTAAAATTCCAGCCCCTTCGCTTACGGTGCACTCCACGAGAGCGCAGGTGTTGTCCCCAGCATTCCTAGCGCAGCTCCATATACAGGTAATATGCAAGGCAGCAACGTGGTCCTCTATCCACACCTTCATGTCACACTACACCATTACCCAATAGGCAAGGGACGATGCAGCCTTTGGCAGGGAAGTCCTGCATTCCTCAACCAGGTGAACTCTGAACCCTCTCCCAAGGGAAACTACTTTGGAGTCACCTATTGGAATGCACATGATCAATCACTTGAAGAAGAAAAACGGTTACTTACCTCTCGTAACTATTGTTCTGTGAGATGTGTTGCTCATATCCATTCCAAATCCCACCTGCCTCCCCTCTGTCAGAATATTCCGGCAAGAAGGAACTGAGCAGGTGGCGGGTCGGCAGTGAGCGATATACACTGTCATGAAGGCACCACTCCAGGGATCTCCACAGCCCACCCGACAGGTACCGCTAGGGGAAAAAAACTTCCAACGATCATGCATGAAGTGTGTGCACACCTATTGGAATGGTCATGAGCAACACATTTCAAAGAACAACAATTACGAGAGGTAGGTAACCGTTTTCTCCACAGCATCACTAGTGATCGAACACACAGGAACCTCCCTGAGTGTTTATTCCCTTGGGTGTTTGCAGACGCTGGCATCTCAGAAGTGGCTCAGCTCCGACTGGTGAACGGCCCGAGTCGCTGCGCTGGGAGGGTCGAGGTGCTTCACAACCAGCTCTGGGGAACTGTGTGTGATGACAGCTGGGACATACAGGATGCCGGAGTCGTGTGCAGGCAGCTGGGCTGTGGGAAGGCGTTATCAGCCCCAGGAGGGGCTCGTTTTGGGCGAGGATTTGACCGTATCTGGCTGGCTGACGTCAACTGCAGAGGGACAGAAGTTTCCCTCTCCGATTGCAGGGCTTGGCCTTGGGGAGAGAATAACTGTACCCACGGAGAAGATGCCGGTGTTGTGTGCTCAGGTAACCTTCATCTACCACCATGCACGTTGCAGGGAGCAGGGTAGGAAACTCATTAGCGGGCCTTGTCCCCTCACAGCCAGAGCTGACCGCAGCATGGTGTTTGTGGCCTGTGCTTCAGGGAGCAATATAATGGTTCCAGTAGTAGGGTTACCATACGTCCGGTTTTTCCCAGACATGTCCGGCTTTTCGGCAATCAAACCCCCATCCGGGGGGAATTGCTAAAAGGCCGAACATGTCCGGGAAAATGCCGGCCGGGCACTTCCCCTCCTGCGGCTGCTCTGCTCCTCCCCTGACTCTTCGGCTCTGTTTAAGAG